TATTAATGCTCCAACCAAAGTCTGGTTGTCACAACCAGATCATGTACAACTACATTGATGTAGTTGTTACTACTAAGTAACTAAGTCATATCAAGCATACACATAATCATTGCATAAAGATAACTAGGATAATGCAGCTATATTGCTTACAACCAGATATTTCTGGTTATGTGCACCATATCATTTTTTTCCGTGTAATATTTCGATTTTAACGTTTTTGAAAGTAGAAGCATGGATCTAAAAAGTAGGCCATATGCAGTTTAAGTTTTTACAAGAATATCAAGAATATTTATTTTTACTTTTTTTTAATATCCTAATTCTCCTTTAAGAGAAAATTAATTTTTCTTACGAGAGTCCATCACATATACATATAGGTACAATGCCTTGCTGTAATTCATTCATAGAATCTCTTCGAATTTAACTTTTTCTTCGTGTTAAAGGTCTACTAACATTTTATTGTCTTCACTTAATCTGCCTGATTGCATCTTTGTTATTATTGGAGTGCTTTCGTCGAGTGTCAATATATTCAGAGTAAATATGATCTTTATCTTACAATTGTTAAATTTAAATTAATAATTATACATCAAATATAAATTTACTCTAACGACCATTGAGCTTATAAAAATGATGATTTCTAATCAAGCAGTTTGTTGAAGCGATAACAATATCAGAGAACACGGTAGAAATATTTATATCTTTTTCTTGCACTTCGGCTGATTTAACTTACATGTTTATGGCAAATTATATTGGACAGCAGGCTACTGATTACAATAATGAAATGTTTAAAATAGCGTAAGTATTAGTATTTACTTTTGTTTAATTAATGCTCTCATACATCCTTAATTTTAAGCAAAGTTCCATTTGCTTTCTATAGAATTTGTGTTCTAATAAGGTACATTTTTTTGTAAGATCTTTCGAATGAGTTATTTCACTTTTTCAAGAAACCTTTATTCTTATTTTTAGGTATGGTACATCGTGGTACTTAATGCCTGTCACATCACAAAAACTGATTTTATTTTTAATGAAAAGAACTAGTAAAGAGTTTTGCTACATTATCGGCTATATATTTGTGGCAAAGATAAAAAATTTTGCTATGGTAAGAACGGCTAACAATGACAAAACAACAGAATTTTACTAACAAAGATGTATACGTTAATTTTTTTTTTAGCTTGTTAATACTGCGCTGTCTTACGTTGCCGTAATGTATTCTATCCAATGAGAATGATAAAGACATGAATAACACGAATAAAAATGAATTTTTATTTTTCCGCGGATGCACATGGGAAAATAAAGAAGCATTGTGTTTCTTTCTAAAATGTCAATTATGTATAGTTTTCTAGTAAGAATTTTAGTTTTTTTTATAACTATAGTATTGCACGAGATCTCTCTTTAAAGACTTACGTAACGTAGTCATTGCTTTAGTACATTAGGTATATATTTATTCTACTCACATTATTGTATTTTGTTTCTTTATTTAAAACTGTATGTAAACTACTATCAATATAACAAGAGTAATGTGAAAGGATATTCTATATAAATCTTTTTTTGCTTTTTGTCTATTAAAGTGCATTCAATTAGTCATTTAATTATAAATTAATTGCAATGTGTGTTATTATATTTTATGCAATATATTACCTATTACTGGAAGTTCTTTATTTGAACAGTGTCATTATATTTCTGTGTTCAAAGTGGTATAAATTCTTTCGGTTTTGTCCCCATTGCTGTGTACTGCAACTCTCATTCTTTTATTTATGAAAAGAATACTAGAATCAGTAGAAAAAAATAATTTATCTGAAAAACCAAACAGAGAAATTGCAAAATTTAATTCATCTGCGAGAATAACACTGTTATTAATATAAAAGGGCATTTATAAAGTTTTTATAAATATATATACATATCGTCTATAATAACATTAACATTTTATGGCCAACTGTTGATCTAATCTCGTTAATAACTATATTGCTTAAATACTTCACCATGATTTATTTTATGTCATAATAATAACCCAGAAAGAAAAATAATTTTTCAATTAGTATTTTTTAAATTAAATTAGCATAGGTATGTAATGTGTATGCATAGAAAATACGTTGAATTAATGCTATTAATAATAACTAAATGCATTTTTATTTCTAACACTTTACACGTAGCATTCCTGAATACAAATAAATGATTTTAAAAAATTTTGTTCAAGGCAATATAAATTAAATAATTGTAAATAAATTATTATTATATTTATTTATTTAAATCACGAAACTGACTACTCATGTTACTTTAAAAACACACACACAGTTATTATTTAAACTATTCTTTCTGATTTATACGGTTGTATATTTGGTGAAAATGTATGTATAATATAGTATTATTGTATACACTATATTTGGCATAATACACGTGACTAATAAATAGGTATGATATGTCTCTTTATTATTTATATATTTTATTTACTTTTACTTCCTTTAATATAAAGTCAAATTGATTGAAGACATGTATACATACCAATTTGAAGAAAACTATTTTCTAAATAATTTAGAGATAACAAAATATTAAAACTCTTATCAAATTTAGAATAGTTAAAGTATTTTATGACTAGTCGACTATTCTACCAGTGGTGCGTTCGACGGTTGAGAAGAGACTGATACATCGTTCAGTATATTACGGAACATAAACTTCACTGCGCATGTGTATCAAAATTATGGAAAGCGATAATGTAAAGCATTATTGTATAATGAAACGAAGAAAAGTCTTATATCATTTTGATCAGTTACGTCTTTTTTTAGTCATTTTAGACTAAAGAATCGATATAACTGTAACTTTACCGTCAAGTGACTTATGACAGCAAGTATCATTTATTTAACAGAAATATGTATTCCTATATTCGTCTTGTTTCTCAAGATAACTTAAAGACAAAGAAACAGTATGCTATTAACATGCATTTGAATACTGCAGTCTGCATTTGTAGTTTGTCTTTAGTGCAATATGCATCTAGTCGAAGAACATTATTATCCTACATCCAATAAAATTGTTTTAAAGGTTCTGGGTATTTGGCCTCATGACAAATCGCGATTGGTATTTTTGAAGCGGGTGCTGATTATTACTTTAATTGTAACATACATTATCTTGCAGGTAATTGCTTACATATATTTATAAGTAATTTTCATAATGTAATTTAAAGTAGGATATTTTTTAAAAATTATTAATTTTCAATAACTTTCTGAAGCCACAAAGGACCTCAAAGAATTCAAGATGTAACATAAAATAAAATTTTTTAATTATCTGTTTGGCATGTAATAACAACATAATATCTATACTTTTATAATGATTGATAATCGTATTTATTGTTTTCAGTTGTCAATTTTTATTACAACAAAATATAATATGGCCCTCTTCTCTAATATTATGTCGTTCGTTATTCTTTTTACGGGAATGGGGATAAAATATTGTATTTTTATTTTTAAATCAAAAACTGTGAGTTCTAAATTTATTCATACAATCAACGATTATAGATTTCACTTGTGGAATTATATCTAACAAGTATTAACTAAACCAATGTATCTTTCAATTATAGATAAAAATCTTACATTATTATATCCAAGAGGACTGGAAGATGATGCAAAGTAAATTAGAAATTGATATTTTGCAGAAACATGCTCATAGCTGTCGAAATTATGTAATCTATATATTCTGTAAGAAAACACCATTAATCCCGTTTTATATTTATCGAAAATACGTCGTAAAAATAATAGCATCAATAAAGCATCAATCATAATATTTTAAAATAAATTCAAAGGAATATATAAGACTAAAGGCCAAGACGGGGTGTTCATGTCCAAATAATTTATTTATTTATTTTGGAATTTATTGCGAAAAATATTACCTCAGCCATTGTTTGAACCTGGACCTCCCTACTCTCTTGGCGTTTCACTAATTTGACTACTGAGGCATTAAAATAAATTTTTGATTTTGACACGAACATCCTGTCATGGCTCTCCTTTATTCCTTCGAATTTATGTTTATCACATGTAAGCCTTGTGAATTTTATTAATTGGTTAAAAATTTTTAATGCCTTTTTATCTTTATTCTATAATATCTACGTACACAACGATCACGAATCCATAATGAAGCATAGTAGCTTTTTTATATTTGTTATTTCTCTTGTAGAATTAAATTATATAGAGTGTTATGTAATACCTGCCTCATCTCTTATTTACGAATAGAGCGCACTAGACGGTGTCAAAAAGTCCCCTACTATTTTGCAATTTTCGCAATAGTTAATGAGTTATTAAATATTAAAAATCGCTGTCTTAGCCCCACCTACCGTCCCGCGATTGGCGTTGCTAGGCGCGCGGGGAGTTTATTATACGTAGCCGTTGCCGTATGTCTCCTCGCGCACCTAGCAACGCCAATCGCGGGACGGCTGCATCTCGCCGCGCGCTTGAATTGGGCGGTAGGCCAGACTAAGACAGCGATTTTTAATAATTAATAATTTAATAACTCGTCAACTATTGCGAAAATTGCAAAATGGTAGAGGACTTTTCGATTCATTGTCAGTCTAGTCTAGTCTCTATCCGTAAATAAGAGATGAGGCGGGTATTACATAACACCCTGTATAATTGTGTAATAGATTTATAAAATCTGTTTACATTACAGATGCTGTCGAGTTTTTCGTAGTCGGTATAATCGTTGTTCAATTTTTTCCGATTATTCTTGATTTTGTTTCGCCATTAGACGAACCTCGGCCACGTAAAACTATTGTTGCAGTGGAATATTTTATCTCTCAGGATAATTATTTCTATGCCATAGTATTCCACGAATTTACTATTATGTTTTTATGTACGTCAGTGATATTAGCCACGGGGACGCAAGCGATGTTACTTATGTATCATTCTTTCGGGATGTTTAAAATCGCCTGGTAACGATCAATTCACATTGATCATGAATATATCAATCACAAATTATATTAAATTTGCGACTATTTGCAGTCACCGAATGGAACATTCCATCGATGATCGTGTATTGTACATGCCGAACTGTGAACGCGCAATTTACGAGAAAATTGTCCAGGTTGTAATTGTACATCGTAGAGCTATGGAGTTAGTACATTGAATTATATTTTTTTCTGTAAAATCTATTGCTACTTTTTTTAAATATTAAGATCTTGATTATTCCTATTAATAATTTGGTTCTAATGTTTTTGAAAATAGAAATAAATCTAAAAGCTTTATGTAGGATATGTGGAGTTTAAGTTTTTACAAGGATTTTACAAGAGTATATAATTATTTCTTTTTCCTAAAATATCCTGATTGTCATTTAAACAATAATAATAAATAAATATTTTTAATGAATAAATAAATTCATGAAAGTTTCTTAAATATATTTTACTATAATGTATAATTTTATTGCATAAACTTCATTGAGTTTAACTTTTGATTATATTTAAAGGTTTACTAACATTTTTTTATCATCATTTAATGTGCCATATTGCATCTTTGCCACCCTTGGAGTACTTTCATTGAGTGTCAATTTATTCAAAGTAAATATAATTTTTATCGTATAATTATTAATTATAATTTACACAATTGTAATTAATTTACTTCTGGTTATTCGACTTGTAAAATTTACAATTTCTAATTAAATAGCTCGTTCAATCGATAATAATAGTGAAAAACATTGAAGATACTTTTATATCTTTTACTACCATTTTGGGTCATCTACTTTATATGTTTATGGCGATTTATGTAGGACAGCAGGCTACTGATTATAATAACGAACTTTTTAAATTAGTGTGAGTATTAGTAATTACTTTTGTTTAAATGATATTAATATACGATACGCGGAAATCAAAGAATTTTTTAACAGTAGGAGTGTTATAAATATCCTAATTGTGATGTAGGACTTTTCTTCATCATTTTAGAATCTTTTACTTGGGATTTAATTCTTTCATTTCTATAGTCTGTGGAATAATTATTTTCGATTTAAATTATATATTTTTAAACAGCAAAGTTCCATTCTTTGTATAAAACTTGTTTTCCAGTCAAAGTATTGTAAACTCCTTCGTATACAGTCTTTTGTGTGAACTATTTTAAGCTTCCTATTTATTCTATTTAAGCTATCTTTTTCATTATCTTTTTAGTTATAGTACATCTTGGTATTTGATGCCTATCACATCACAAAAACTGATTTTATTTCTACTGTGTAGTACTGGTAAAGAGTTTTATTACACGATTGGTTTTATATTTGTGGCAAAAATGGAAAATTTCGCCATGGTAAGAAGAGCTAAGAATGAAAAAGTAGTAGAATTTTACTAAGATGAATACATTAACTAATCTTTTTAGCTTGTTAATACTGCGCTGTCTTACGTCGCTGTGATGTATTCTGTCCAATGAGAAAGACATGAATAACGTGATCAATAAGTAACAATTTTTATCTTCCCGCGGATACACGTGAGAAAATAAAGAAGCATTGTGTTTCTTTATACAATGTCAATTATTTATAAGTTTCTAATAAGAATTTTAATTTTTTTATTACTGTCGTATTGCACGAGATCTCTCTTTAAAGATATACATATAATATAATTATTGCATTAATATATTAGTTAAATATTTATGTTATATTACCAAAACTTATTCTATTGACAACGTTATTGTATTTTGGTGATCTTTATTTAAAACTGTATGTGAACAACTGTCAGTATAACAAGTAATGTAACGTTTAATGTGAAAGAAATATAATATATGTTGTGTAGAGGAAATTCTATGTATAAGGCTTTTGTTGGTTTTTCTTGTCAATTGAAGGACCTTATTAATTATTAATTAATTGTGTGTTATGTCAATATATTTTATAAAATATATTATTACTAGAAATCCCTTGAGCTATGTCATAATGTTTTTGTGTTTAAAACGGCACGAAATCTTTTAAATTTTGTCTTCTTCGGTGTGTACTATTACATGTACATATGTATCCAACTTTCATTCTTTCATTTATGGTGGTAGATTTATAATAGAATTAGTACATACAGGAAAATAATTTATCTGCAAAATCAAGTAGTTAAATTACAAACATTAATTTATCTACAAAAATGAAAGTATTACTAATAAGAAGTAAATATATTACAAATTTTTTAAATATTTCTCTTAATATCGATTATAATAACAATAACATTTTATGATTATTTGCTGTCGTATTCTCACTGAATATATCACTTATTTAAGTTTTATAAGCTGTATATCTCATCCAAAGTTCATATCTCTAAATGTGTTAATGCTATATCTCACTTTTATCTATACACATATGTACATAAACAATAAGAATCAGAAAATTCACGATGTAATTATTGCAAAATAAAATTAATAAATAATTTAAAACTTAAAACTTCATGAATTATTTATACGTGTTTACAATTATTTATAAAATTCCTTAATTTTTGTTCTTATATTAAAACTATTGTTATACTAGCTTGCCTATACTGATTTGTTATTGCTCAAAGTGATGCAAAATGCATTAATTAAATCTTATTTAATATATTATTAACAATGTTATTGATAATTTGGAGTTAGAATATCATATAGTATATTTCAACTTATATTATATTATACATACAGACAGAAGTTGATTTAAACAAGCTTTGCGAATTGGGTATCAAAATCTCATTCTTTAATTCTTACAAAAGTGCATCATAATTAGCATTAATTATTTCCAAATAAGATTATTTTCCGAGAAATGTAACCGTGAATTACATTCTGGTACAAACCTTCTTAAAATTGCATTAAATTTCTTTTGCATTAGTGAATTGCTTCTGTGCACTATTGTGTTAATACTTTCTGTTAGAAAAATTTGAAATGTCTGAAACAAAAGAATTAGATGCATGCACAATAATTTGACTAACAATAAACTTGTACACTTTTATCACTCTTACTGTACTTGTGTTACTTATACTGATAATTTTTGCTCGGAATATTTCACTAAAAAAATATTTATTCTATCTATACCCGTAATCATCTCTGTGCAACATCAGAATGTAATTATCTTATATAACAGTTTGAATAAAATTTGTAACTTTACTATATTTTAAATTGCATAAAACGTATATTACGTTTATGCAATTATTTTCCTACTTCTACATCTATTTGTAAATTTATCTTTCTTTAAGTGCCGAATTAAATTGCTCAATTATATCATAATATTTAAAGAAATGAAATAAAAGAGGAAATAAAATTCGTGAGAATGTGTTCGACAAACTACTTCTAACTTCCGTGCAAGATGCATGGTATCGAAGAGCATTATTATAAAATCAATCGTATCCTTCTTGTAATACTCGGTGTATGGCCCTATCAACAATCGATACTTTCGAAAGTACAGAGACTGTTTGTTTTTAGTATTCTGGTGAGCACAATTTGTATTGAGGTATGATTTAGAGTATTTACTTTTATTTCCCCATTAATTAGGTTACATCTGTTGGCCTGTTCTGCTTAATCATTGCTTCTTGTATACAGAGTTTGTTATGTAATACCCGCCTCGCCTCTTATTTACGGATAGAGCGGACTAGACTGATTGTGAGTCGAAAAGTCCCCTACCATTTTGCAATTTTCGCAATAGTTAACGAGTTATTAATTATTAAAAATTGCTGTCTTAGGCCGGCCTACCGTTCAATCCAAGCGCGCTGCGAGATGCGGCCGTCCCGTAATCGGCGTTGCTAGGCGCGCGGGGAGTTGTTTATTACACGTAGCCCTTGCTGTGTGTCATAAAAAATCCCCCGCGCGCCTAACAACGCCGATCGCAGGACGGCCGCATCTCACCACGAGCTTGAATTGGGCGGTAGGCCGGGCTAAGACAGCAATTTTTAATAATTAATAACTCGTTAACTATTGCGAAAATTGCAAAATGGTAGAGGACTTTTCGACTCAGTCTAGTCCGCTCTATCCGTAAATAAGAGGTGGAGCGAGTATTACATAACACCCCGTATATGTGCATACAAGTAAATCGAAAGTTTTTACCGACTGATACTTTGTACTTTTCAACATATGTTAACACATAACTATAATGTTGCAGTTCAGTTCGTTCTTCACACATGAATATAACACAGCTTTGGTCATCGAAATTTTGTCATTTTTATTTCCTACTCTCGTGGTCATAACAAAGTATTACTACTTTTACGTTAGAGCAGAAGCTGTAAGTCTTATTAACATTTTGAATAATTTCTTCAATAATAAAGTCAGTTGGAAGACGTTATCTAATATTTTATAATTTTCTCATAAGTAAAACCTTAAATAAAAAATATAATGAATCATTTATTAATTTTATTTATAATTATTAAGTATTGCTGAAGACTATTATTATGAAATAGAGAATAAACAATCAGCGTATAATTCACAATAAATACTGAAATTCTTTATTATTTAGTTGGATTAAATGTCTTTCTTAAATGTTCAATAACAGATAAAACAGATGGTAGCACAGGTTCAAACCGATTGGAATTTACTAAAGGATAAGCATGAACATGAAATAATAGAATCATATACCGAATATGGGAGAATTATAACTATCATTGCACTATGTAAGAAAAATGCTCTCAAGTATCTCACATGCATAACATTTTGCAAAATTACAAATTACTATTTACTTTTGAAGATACCTATTTTTATTTTGCTAGACATTTTCATAGAGTCAATTTTCTATACATATTTACAGATTACAACAAGACCTGTTTGTTTGCATTCTATTATTTATTTTTTATCTATTTGAATTACATAATAAAGATATAAAGTCATGATTTATACATTTATTCCTTTGTATTATTATTTTTATTTTATATATTTTAACAGTTTTTATAAAAAACATTTAAATATTTTTGTGCGCCTTAGTATTTGGCTGTGCTATTGCAATTATATTTGTGACATCGCCAATGGTGTATTATTGTATTAACATTTACTTACGTAACAACAATACTTATTTGGAAAATATATATATTCCAATCGATTATTCTGTTATTCAAGAAAAATACATTTATGTCACATTATTGCATTTTATAATATTCGGAAGTATTGCAATAATAATAATTGTAGCGATCGCTACAATCCTAGGATTATATATGATCCATGCTTGTGGTTTATTAAAAATTGCCAGGTAAGTGATGAGTCTGGCGGCAAATCCTAGTCATCGGATAACATTCGAAAGTTTTACAGCTATCGAATTGAACATGCAATAAATGTGGAAAATGTACAAGATATCTCTCCATTAAAAAAAGAATATGTTATGTGCACGAGAATAATGCAAGCCGTACATATACAACTAAAAGCGTTGAAGTTTGTATCTAAATGAGCTAGTGTATTATACAGGTTGTGTAATACCCGTCTTACTTTGTATTTACGGATAGAGCGGATTAGACGGAGTTGAAAAGCCCTGTACCATTTTGCAATTTTCGCAATGGTTAACGAGTTATTAATTATTAAAAATCGCTGTCTTAGCCCGGCCTACCGCCCAATTCAGGCGCGCGGCCAGATGCGGTCATCCCGTGATTGGCATTGCTAGGCGCGCGGGGAGTTGTTTGTGACACACAGCAACGGCTATGTAGAATAAGCAACTCCCCGCGCGTCGATCGCGGGATGGCCGCGTCTCGTCGCGCGCTTGAATTGGGCAGTAGGTCGGGCTAAGACAGCGATTTTTAATAATTAATAACTCGTTAACTATTGCGAAAATTGCAAAATGGTAGAGGACTTTTCGACTCAGTCTAGTCCGCTCTATCCGTAAATATGAGGTGAGGCGGGTATTACATGACACCCTGTGTACAGGGTGTCTTGTAGTTTTTGATAAATTTTATCTTGGGAAGGTCGAACGGATTGAAATAAACATAAAGTCACATTCCGTGTTGCAATATTTGCAAGAATAATTTAGATATTGAATATTAGAGTCGGGCAAATAAGAGCGCGTCGAGACGGCACGAGGGAAGTTATCAAGCCGCTCGAGCCATAGCACGGCCCATTGTATTTGACATTGGTTGGCAGCGCGCTATTCTCCCTCTCGCCGCGCGTTGGGGAGAGATAGTGAAGGATAGCAAGGGCAGGGGAAGAGCGCGCTACCAGCCAATGCTTAGATACAGTGGGCCGTGTTATGACTTGAGTAGCTTGAGTATTTCTCTCGTGCCGTCACGGCGCGCTTTTATTTGCCCGACTTTAATATTTAATATCTAAATTATTATCGCAAATATTGCATTGTATGGCACTTTTTTGTTTATTTTAATCCGTTTTATCTCCCCATGATATTATAATATTGATAAAAAACTACGGGACACCCTGTATATGTTGAATAAAGATTGTTTTTTCCAAATTATGCTTATTTTGTTTGAGAAATTATTTCTATTTTAAAGGTTTGCGAATTACATCGTGTCTTCATTTGCAACAATGTATTTTGTTCTAATAATATTAGGTGTGGCTACCGTAAGCATATATATGTTTCGAGTAAGTAGTATATTAGTAGTATGGTACTTATAAGAGAAATGTTTCTTCTATGCGTATTGAGCTACTTTTGATTCCAATTAAAAAGCCAATTATATTCCAGTTTTTTCAAAACTTACAAACAAATGGTGATTGGCCTGAAATTTTTATTATCCTTACAATGCTAGGCGGACATTTTGCGTACATGTTTATCGCAAATTATAGAGCACAAGAGATTTCGGACCATTGTAATAACCTGTTTTATGCAACGTAAGTATTGACTTGGTTTAAACGTGATTTAAACTGAAAGTTATACTGTAGAGAGAAAAACAAATATGAAAACTTTCTTTATAACGAAAAAGAAAAGAGTATACTTTAAGTCGCCAGTGATAAATAAAAATTAAAACTAAGCTTCTTGTTGATCCAACTGGCAATTTAATTAGTTAAGCGTTACAGTGGTCGTTACAAGGATCAATTTAAATCAGACTTTTATAATGCTTGAATGCGCTTACTGAGGTTAAAATTTTTTTTTACTTTTTCCTCCGTTGACAATGATTCACGAGTTTACTAAAATTTACGTTTCGCGAACATCCATGCACGAGTTCCGTTACTTACTTGATAAGGATCTGATACTTAAGTCGAAACGTCGTACCACTATAACGCTTAACTAATTAAATTGCCTGTTGGATCAACAAGAAGCTTTAGTTTATTCTTTATTTATAAGTTATGACAAATCATTAGTGCTAATCATAAGATACATTCAAATCATATCTTAAATTAAAAAGTGTCTACTCATTATAATTAAAAAAGCTATATAAAAGCTTTAAAAAGCTAAATAAAAG